TCGATTTCTTTTGAACTTCAGTGTATTCTAATAGTGCTAGTCTCTTCCTTCGAAAATACATTTTTGGTTTGTAGACCGCATGCTCTGCTCTGCATTTAATCTGTGCTTTTTACTCGTTGGTTCTTTTAACTTTCCTTAGTATTGGTTTCTCATCTGGCGGCCGTTTGTAGCATAGATTTCTTCTTAACTGATCAGTCATTTCCCTTCAACCCAAACGTGCTGCCAATATTGTTCGTTGGGACATTTCCTTTTCGTCGTTTTTTTCTTATTTCAACCTGCAGTTGTTTCTTACTGGAATGGTCGCGCAATTGCATTTATCCTTGAAATTTGTTTGGCACGTTCTTTGTTTTGCTCTTTCTTCTTCGCCATCTTCTGTAAACTTTCCTCTTTAAAGATATATCTCAGTATAGAAGCTGGGTCTTTTCTCACTTTTATGACTCCCGTAATCCTTTCATTTAATCTGCCGGGCTTGTGACTTAGACCTCGACATTGAATCAACCGAACTTTCCAATAGTTCTGCACTACTCAAGGCAGGAGATTCTGTCTTGTTTCCCTGATTCTCTCAATTAAACAGGGAACTTTGAATATAATACACAATTTCCGAACTGGTTTCTTCTAGTGCACAGGAAAGCGAATTATTTTTAAAACTTTACGATTCACCTTAAAATCAATTTAACGATTTTTCTTGTTCTAATAAAATTTTGTATTCCATTGCCCATATCTGAATCTCACGTAGTGTCATCCACTAATATCTGAATGTCTGCCAACATAAATTCTTCTGAACCTATTACAACAAAAACATTTATCCAGCGACATAGTCAGTTCTTGCCAAGAAATAATTCAGTGTTTTACGAGTAGTATTATGCTTGGCGAATCTTACTGCATAGGTTAATTCATTAATACAGATATCTCAGCGTTGGTGGTAATTCTTATACCATATCAGCTACAGATAATTTTAACTATTTTAACAATTCATTTGTTCTGCGATATTTGACTGTGGTCGATAAAAGATCATTTTAAATTGATTTTTTATCAAGAGCCGTACACATTTCCTCAATAAGTTTACTTATAAAAATACGATATACAATAAAAATAATCTCAGACAATGGTCCGCAGCTGGTGGAGCTGGGGACCATTGTCTCAAGTTATTTATATTGGAGCGCCGTATTTTAATATAAATTCTTTTAAGGAAGTACTGGCAACAGTTTTTATTGTCACCTTTCTAATGGGAATTGTTTTACCCACTTCGAAACATTATCAACAATCACAAGCAAGTACCTGTTTTTATCTTTTTCATACGTGCATAAAGGCTTAACAGATCAATTCCTACGTTATTTCGTTAGGTAATGTGGCTTTTATGCTATTTAGGTACCCATCCGAGCTATAATTAACACCATTAATAAATTGGCAAGTTTAGCAAGACTTCACATTATAAGGTACTTCTCCCACCTTTCTAGAGAGCCTTTGTGGTGTAGTGGTTCTGCTCGCTGGGCCGGTTTTCCAGAGGCCCGTTGTTCGATTCCCGGCGAAAGCGTTTGCTAATTTTTCACCTTGCATGCTTATAAAATAGCTAATGTCGCTACAACATATTTAGTTACAAATCTTTGCAGCTGTGAAAAATGAACAACTTCCCTTTCCCTCTACACTGTTTTCTTACATTCCAAGATGTCCTGATGATTTCATATCACGCAGTTCATGTAAAATGATTTATCTGAGATAACTAGCCATAATTAATTGTTCTTAGTTGTTCTTTTTGAATAAAACAGAAGGTTATCAATAATTTCCTAATTGGTGATTCTGTTCCTAATTCCTATTATGTCGTAATGTCAACAAATCAAATATCTTTTAATTCTTCACTTCATCATTTAGTTTAATTCTTAATAGGAAATCCGCTGTAATATTATCTTTTCCCAAAGTATGTTTAAGTTTTGAATTGTAGTCTCGTATTTTAAAAGCCCGTCTCGTGAGTCTTGGAGACAGAAATCTCCCAGAATACAGACGTACAATAGCCGCAAGTTCTGTGTATAAGGCAACAAGTTCCTTGCCAAAATAAACTCGAAATTTCTGAACTGGCAAAAAGACTCCAGTGTTTCTCTCAATAGATGTATAATGTCTTTGAGTTGGATTCCTTTTTTTTTCTAAAAAATGTAATCGGTTGTCTGTCTTGCATAAATACGTCTTCTATTGCGAACTCAGATGCATCTGTAGTGATTTCTAAATTAACGTATGTTTCAGGAAATTTCAGGACGGGGGCTTCTATTAATGCCGCTTTGAGGTTTTCAAAAGTCGTTTTTGCTTTCGCCTACCAAGAAAATGTATTGTTGCTCATCTCGCAGCGAAGGATAGCTCTGGCAACATAACATAATAAATAACTTCTACCCAACGTTACTTCAGAAACTTCTAAAATGAAAAAATAGTATGTTACATAGTAGAACACACTTTAATTATGTGAAACCCTACATTGAACATACAGTTTTCTAACTACATCTGGTTGCGAAGAAAATTACATTCCTTTTTTACGTTCTGAAGATTTTAACCGCAAGAGTTCATCAACCGATGTAAGTCATTTAACTCTTGCTTATTGGCGAGTGAAATGATGTTATTCTCAACATCTAGGTTTTTCCTTTTAAATTTATTAAAGACTCTGCTTTAAAGGCAAAATCTTTAAAAAATCTTTAATGAATGTTTTAAAATAGAAGTACAAGCCCAAAAATGATGCAAATTTTCTCGCTGTATTAGGTGACGGATAGTTTTTAATTTTAGTACTTTTTGAATCATTTGTTTTTATTTCTCTATCACATATCTAATATTCAAGACACTTGCTCACATATCTAATATTCAAGTTATTTGGCAGCTATTCTACATTTTGCTACGTTCACTTTTAAACCTGCTTCCCTTAGAAGCGAAAACACTTCAAAACAAACACTCAACAAATCGACCATGTTCTCACCATTGCGTTACTTGTGACTGTTATGTTATTAATGTATCTGGATATTGATTTACAAAGTACAGGCCTTAATATTATTGCCAATTGCCCTTTGAAATGTAGCGGGCTTCCCGCATAATAAATGCAGTTTTTAGCAGTCCTCCGATTTCCCACATATCTGGAAATTTCAAGAACTGATATCTAGCGTGGTCATGTATTTTGTAGATTTAATTTTTATTATTATTTCTTCAATTACTGATAAGGGGTCAACCTGATATTTTGTTTGGTTTTCTGCTTGTTTGGATTGAGAATCTACAAGCCTTGCAATTGGCAGAAAGAAGATTATTGTACCTTCCTCGCAGTATAGGTGGAGACTACTTGTGGAGAATTATAATTTTGCCATTCAAAATGCCCGAAATATGCTCTCCTATGCCGTCGTTTTTGAATTTATCGCAACATTTGGGTTTGCCACTAAAAGGGGGTTTCTTTCTTGTTTCGATCGAGTAACTCACCACACGTGCTAAACTTGGGGTGTCATGAAATAAATCTGAATGATCAATGGATGCATCTTTTTTATGTTCCAGATGGAGTTTGTTCATGTCCAAAGCTGGCGGTTTTACCTCTTTTTCTATCCACTTCTGCATGTTCAGCTTGTCATGCCTTCCTGAAATCAGTTCTCACGCTTGCGGATTTTAAAACCTCCAAACACAAAACACTTTTGCCTGTAATGTTCTCACCGCACACACAAAAACTAACCACTTTACGTTTTTAATTTTTAACTTGCACATTCCGAGTCAGTCTCACTATGCATTCATAGGGTGTTTCCTGCGCTATTATCACCTTGGTTCATACAACGTCGAAACACACGTATTTTCTATTTTTTTATAAAGCTTTCCTCAAAACGTTACTGACACATACCGACATTCAAATTTCCCAGCTAACTCAAAAATATGTTATAGTATATCAGACTTTCTAAACTTTAGACTATTGTGGATATGCGGGAAAAACCTGAATGATATATTTTAAATAACTTCTGAATCAGGGGTTTTCTCCCATATTACAATTTTACCACCTAAATCTTTGACAGAATAAAATCCGTTAACTCGTCGTTATTCGTCTAGCATTTACCATAAAAATTTGCTTCCAGTTTGGCCGATCTTTAACCATTGGAAATGCTTACAAAAGACCAGCTTTAAGTACATCAAACTTATAAATCTCACTCTCCGTTTAGCCTACTAGATATTTCCAGATTACCTAATACCAAATCAATGCTTGACTCATAGCCCAGCGGCTGCTTTACCAATCTTTTTTATTTTTCCAGCTGGATATAGTAAAATCGCGCTTCTAAGCTTTCGCTAAACTACTAAACTGAATTATGTCATCCAAACAAGTGGATAGCTTCATTGCAACTCTCATGACTTCCACAAAAAGGCATAATCCTTCTATTGGAATTGCTGATGTAGGAACCTGGAATCTCGATGAGGTTTAATGTTGCCTCGTCTCCAGGCATGATTTGTTAGAGAGCTGACTGCCAGATGTAGGGTACTGATTGAATAGAAGATTAAGTTAAGACAAAGTCTTAGAATTTTTTTTAATTCTTTAAACTAATCGAATGCTTCACTTGTGCTATAAAATAAAACTCTGGTACTTGCGGTTATTTTAATAAAATAACATAAAGCTAAATTCAAGTGACGTAGTATGTGACTATATAAAGACAGTTTACTTTAAGATTCTTTCAGTTTGCTTAAAGGTGGTTCAGGTTATCAATATTTAATCGTCTGCTAGCCAAATGTCTAAAGCGAGAACTGACTTAATAAGAGCTGACAGTAGTATGTAACAATGTGAGATTGTCAGAAGCTCTACCTCTAGACCTTCGAAACTTCTGCTTAAATGATGAGGATTACAAAAGAAATTATATTACAGTTTCAAATGTAATAACTTATTAATTCACATAAAATCTCACAGCTTTTCTCTCTTCTGTGTTTTCTAAATTAAAATGCAAATATCTAATCATCTGCAAAGCATTTTAATTGAAAATATGTTTTAATTTAGTCTTTGATGTATATAATCTTTTCTAGGTGCTATTTTTACTCCAGGTACCGAAGAACAGCAATCTGCATTTAGGCATGCAATTCATCTTCATAACACCAATGGTTCTCAAGCGCGATTTAAAGTGGAGCCTGTTATAGAAGTTCTTGATAGCTCTGACGCTTTCAAAATGGCACGTGCACGTGAGTTTCGATCTCTCTCTCTCTCTCTCTCTCTCTATATATATATATATATATGTGTGTGTGTGTGTGTGTGTGTGTAAGATACAACAAAATATAATAGCTGCTTTAAAACAATTGATAAATTCAAAATTAACATCCTAAATTTGGTGCTCTTTCCTTAAATTCATCAGTTCTCCCAAATTCGAGATCATTCCAGATTACATAACACAGCTTGGAAAAGGTAACTAAAACTAATATTGACCAATTACATAGCTTAGAATAATCTCTGCACCTACGAAGTATAATTATTGAGTCACGAGCACTAACGCTTCCCCTTTTCCTGACTTCTGCCATGCAAACAACTCCGCGCCGCTTATGCTTCCCTACCTGAAATGACCTTGTGGCTTTTTATCTGTGTATATAAAAATTATTTGTATTCAACTATGATCGAAAAGTAATTTGTCTACCAAAGAAATAATTTTTGATATTCCTAAAAATAAAGATGGTGATTCGCCGAAATTGGTTTTGTCAACGTCCCATTCCTGCCTTATCCACCCAGCCATGTCTACAGCCAGAAGTACAGGATTCATGACTGCGCATTTAGTATATTGCATGTACACACGTATATGAGTCGCCATATGCAATCAGAATGCTTTTTACCTTTTAATTTAAAATTACCTATACCTTAACCTGTACTTTATGCAAATTCTGTTGTAAGAGTAAATATTTCGCATTTCAACGAACAAAACAAACATATTCCTCCAAAAATGAATCTGAAATAACGTATATGTTTCGCATTTTCACAATAATTTTCCTTTCAACTTGATTACTAAAATCTATTTTAATGCAAGCAGTTTCATATGTGCATTAACATTGTAATTACCGTGCTGTGATATTTTCACTTTTATTTCAGTGCAACGACATTAGAACGCATTTTGCATCAAAAGAATTAAGTCTTATTTCAAACGCGGGTGAAAGGAAAAGATTTAATGGGGGAAAAGAGACGCATAAAATTTTCTTTATGCTCATAGAAGAGTAGCCTGACAGCAAAATTCTTCTATGCGGTTTTTTGATCGATGACTGAATTTATGAAGATTCTGAGACTTGGATACTGCGATGAGATGCAGAGTTTTACGAGATTGTATAAGTCGATTATTGGCCCCCAAAAGCCAGAGAGGTTTAATGAGCATCAAAGAAGCTGAAAGAGATCGATATTTTATGCTTTTTCTCTTTCATTCTTTCTTTTTGCAATACAGCTGTTTGAAAAATGGAAGCTTTAAATGGTATTTATCTACCATTAAATTGTGCCTAACTTTAAAATGCAAATATTGCATCCATATGTAAAAGAAAAATCTATGGTGTAATAACCACGCTATATTTGTTCGGAAAGTGTATGTGGCATTGGTTAATGGTCTGGAAGAAAAAGTAGTTGATGTGTTTTATGGAAAGAATTTTAGCTCTAAAATACGAGGGCTATCCAGAAAGTAGATTACGTTTTGGAGTAAAAAAATAAAGAAAGTATAGGAAACAAATTTTATTATATACAGATGAAAGCCACACTCAAATACTACTTTTCTACATAGTCACCATACAAATTAAGGCATTTATCGTAGCGATGTACGAGCTTGGAAATTCCTTCGTCGAAAAATTCGGCCGCCTGCGCCTTCAACCACTTCGTTACCTCTTCTTGCCTTCCATCTTGCACAAAAACTTGTGGTAACCAAGCTTTTCGCTGATGATTTCGTGCAACAAACTTCGCGAAATTTGTGGAAAACTCAAAGAAAGTTCCGTTATTGTGAAATTTCGATTTTCACGGACTTTAGCATCGACTTTTTCGAGAAGTTCAGCGGTCACTATGCTGGGTCTCCCACTTCGATCTTCGTCGTGAACATTGGTTCGGCCATTTTGAAATCTTATGACCCACTCCACCTTCAGTGATAATATTGTCCCCATACACTTCACGAAGCTGCCGATAGATTTCTATCGGTTTACAGTTTTTTGCAGTCAGAAACCTTATTACTGAGCGCACCTCGCAGCTCGCGGGATTTTCAATTAACGCAGACATTTCAAACCGTCACAGTATCTGAACGGAGCACAGCACGAACCTCTCACTAGCACGGCTAGATGCAGACTGAGCTGCGCAACGCTCTGACCCCAAGATGGCCGCGCTAGCCCCGCCCCTAGCGGACACAGACGGAAACGTAATCTACTTCCTGGATGGCCCTCGTATGTTGCGATATTAATAATGAGGGAAAATATGGAAGGGGTAGGAATATATACTGTAAATAATTTAAGTTAGATTTACAATAATTACAATACGGCTTGGAGGTTTTGAATATACTAAAGGACCTTAAACTTTCATAGAAATTAAAATGTTTGGTTTAATTTACTTTTAAAATTATTCAAACACAAATTCATTTAACGATATCAAAACGAATATTTACATATTGTAACAAATTATTATTTATAATTAATCTCGAAAAGCAGAGGAATGGCCTGAAAGAGAACTTGAAATGTTTCAATTTACAAACTGAATTTTTACACCCGGTGATAAATTGAGTGATGTACCTAGACTTCAAGTATCAAATTATGAATGAATTAATGTTGCAATTGCATAAAGCACATTTCTTCATAATATTCAGCTCATTAAGTTTCAAAATCAGAGTATCTATTCAGCTGCATTCATATTCATAAAAATAATCATTTAATCTTTACATTAAAAAGATAGATCCACACTTATTTGAATAATTGATGTTAAATATTATCTCTGATATGAAAGTACTTTTGAAACTTCAGAATCAGAAGGTAAAGGAAATGATTTTTATATTGTAGCAAAAGCTGCTTTTTTATTATAAAATTTAAGATTTTTCATAAACTTCACTGAATTATTATGTCGAGTGTATTTTACATTTCGCTTTATCTTGAATTATCTTATATATCAATCATAAATGTATATAGGCAGTCTATAAGATCCATTTTTCATACTCTTTATGGAAGTCAGATTTTCTGTGGTGAATTCTGTACAGGCATATTAAGAGTTTATTTGAATAAATTTCATTATAGAGAGTATGGCTTTAGTTTGGCAACTATTCAGATTAATAACAAGAAGGAAATTATATCCTATTCCTTAGTTCTATTTATGATTACTTGGTTTTACAAGCAAAAGACTTTTTCAAATAAATAACCTAATTTAGTTCAACAGGAGTAAAACAGTTACAGCTGAAAGTTTGCATGAGACTGAAATTTGAGAAAACTTACAAGCGCCACATTTAGCATAGTTTTCTAAAATTAATTTCATATCTACTTAATCATAAGAGTAAATCTTTGACTCAGTACATTAAACAGTCGCAGTTTACAATCTCAAAACTTAACAGTGAAAGCCGAGACAAAAGTTTAAATAAAAAAAGTATAGTAATATCTAAGAATCAGTTTCAACGTCAAAACAAGGTTTCGTTGAAATGGAAAGCTGTCAAAACCGTCGTCTTCCAAGTCCTAATTTCTAGAAGAGTACACAATTCATGAATCTTTCCGATGCAGTTTTTTATTTCAATTATTAAAGAAGAGTTTTCATTATTAAAATTGACATTCTTCAGTGAAGAAAAGAGCGTAAATGATCGAACAACAGGCTTTACTCTTGTTCGGCTTTGTTGCGGTTTCTAACTTCAAGGCGGAGTACAACAATGGGATAAAAGATGGGGGAATACTTAAGAATGGTTTAACATGATTCTTTCTCTATCCCTAGCAAACAATTGTTTCAAACAGTTTCGGGATATTTTGATGAATTAACACGCTGCCGAAGTGAAAATATAATAAAATAAAGATTCACTAAAAATGTGCTATGTAAATTAACAATCATGAGCAGTTTTACATCACACGCAGTTTACAAGCACTTTCATTAGCATTTTAGTTTACATATGATGCGCAACCGCAATTCATGTCGGTGGTATGTTATCAGTATTCTGTTAAGTTCCACATGTATATGTGGCTAAATTGCAATTTTATCTGAAAAATGGTTAACATGCTATCAATCATCAAAATTATTTTAAAGGCTTAAATAATAGATACTGTGATATTCTTTATTTAAAATTTAATAAATTCATATGTTTTCTTTTAAGTAATTGATGTTTGAAGAACTTGATGGTAACCACATTATAAATATAAAAGCTATAAATCAAAATATAAAACTTTAATAAAATATAACAAGTTTCTCAATATTTTAACTTAAAGTTTTAATATATTTCCGAATCAACTAATTTTTGCAAAACAAAAGATCACGCGTAAAGTACTTTTAATTCACTCGAGTTTAAAACTTCATACTATCATATAAATTTTGATATTACGTTTATTATCGGACAATATTTTGACTGAAATGAAACAGACTGTTTCCCTGAAAACACAATTGTTCAATATACAATAAAAAAGAAAGATATAGATAAATTATTTTTTAATAAGCCCCCCTAAGAAATATAGCTTTTATGTCCGCAAATTGATACTTAAAACCAGTGGTTAAGTATTTTATTACTTATCTCTTCTAGTTTATGAAGTCACTGAAGCATCCTAGTGATAGGAGTTTTAATAACCATGCAGTCGAAAAGCTCGTAAGTAGATATAAAAGTTTCTGTCCTGATAAGAACAAAAAAGATTTTCACAGTTCATTTTTCAGTATGATATTGTTTTGCCTCGAAATGCTTTTTGCTTCGTTGAATGACCAGCTCTGAATCTCTGAAAATTATTCTGAAGTTTTGTCCTCAAAATGTTCAATTAACTGTTCTTTTCACGCTATCGTCATGATTACATCTTTACTTTAAAGTCATTACTTTTATTAGGTAGCTCTACTGAAAACGTAAGCATTTGATCCTGACATCTATTTTGCGTCCTAAACAAACTGCTGCTTTCCTACTGCTACTACCAACTAAATAGGAAGAAGCTTTTTTCGAAGATAGAGATGATTACAATAAGCATTGCTCTAAATATATCATATCGCAGATTCACAAACTATCATTTCTCTATCATTGCCTGCA